TAGTTAATACCGTAAGTATGTGAAATAAAAGATATGTAAAAGTAAAATAGGACAATTAGTGAGAACTAGTAACGATAATAAGAAAATATGTTCCACTCGCAGAAGGTTTATCAGTAGCATGGAGTAGGTGAGTATCATTTTAATGCAGGTCCGGAACGACGAGCGGCGATAACGTATCAGCTGGTACAGGTGAGGTGGTAGCTCTACCACAAATATGCGATGGTGGCGAGGACGGCGGCGGCAGCAAGGATACAGGTGAGTGAGCGCGTCAGCGCTCTGCGTCGAAACTTGAGGGTTGAACGGCAGGAAAGCGGTTATGATAGCTCAACCACTGGATACAGCGAGAATTTGACGAGGACTCCAAAAGGAAATTGCCCCGGAGATTGGTTGGAAGAGTAGATCACGACACTAGGCGACGAGGTTGTTGTTTTAGTTAATGGGTAGGTCACGTCCACACAAAAGTACACAATTTCCACACAATTCCCGACCGGAACGCGTATGGAATACCAACGTACGAGAAACGACGGAAAATACGCTGGTATCCCACTTCCGACACCACTGTTACGAAGCAAACACTTTTTAAAAAAAAACACTTTTTACCCAAAACACCCCTTTTATTAAATTATAAAATTAAGGAAAAGAAATGACAATTAAAACGATGTATCGCGACGGCCTCCAAATCCAATCTGTCGGCAGCGCTTTCAGTTTCCTATTGCATTCCGTCAAAATGCAATAGGAAACTTTGGTGGGAAACAGGACAGCTCGACAAATTAGTTTTTTATATGTTGTCGGCAGTAAGGGGATATAATAGTACCACCTTGTGCAGGTGCTGTCCGCGCACGGCTGCTTCGGTCACTACCTGCACAAGGTGGCGAGGAGGGAACCACGTCGTGCCACGAGTGCGGCGCTGCGGATGATACCGCGCAGCACACGGCGGCTGGCGTCTGACGGCGACAATAGGGCGGGACCTCTCGCTGCCGGGCGTGGTTGCCGCTATGCCCGGTAGCGAGGAGTCCTGGGAGGCGGTGGCCTCCTTTTGCGGAGAGGTAATGTCGCAAAAGGAGGCTGCGGAGCGAGTGCGCGAGGACGCGGCGGACGCGCACCCGCTTTGGCGCAGACGTACGGGGACAAGGCGAAGGCAGTTCGCTGCTCGCCTGATCCCCTAGTGAGGCCAGCGAGCTCTGGGCAGGGACTCCGGAGCCTACATTGCACGGCCTCACTCGTCTGGGGGGCGGGTCTGAGAACAACTGACCTGCCCCTCCGTTGGCGCGGGAGCCCGGCGCAAGCCAGGGCGGCCGGGCGGCGTCGTGGTGAATGTGCACCGACCGCACGGCGCCGACTTAATCGGCGGGAGGTAAACCCGGGGGGGGTTTTAGTAGGGCCTACCTCCAGTCTAGAGGGAGAGTCCCCACATAACCCCTGATTCTCCCTGGGCTCAGGGGTATCTATAAAGATAATAAAAAAAAATAAAAAAAGGGAGGATCGAAGAGTGATCATTTTCGTTACTTTTTTATTCTCTGCTTTGGTGAAAGGTCAGTTATCTACTGCATTAACTTTAAAATACAACTTCCTAGGTCAATAGTTTTGTCCTATGATGCAGTAAAGCCATTTCCGGAAATCGTTTATTAATTACTTTTTATTAATTTATTGACCCCGAGATAGAAGTCCCATGTGCCTATAATTTCACCAGCACCCCCACCCTTCCAAACTGGAACGCAGTAATGCTCACATTACAGCTTGGCGGCAGAAATAGGTAAGGTACAGTACTTGCCTGGACGAACCACAAGGAGTAGAAGAAGTCTACTAAGCTAATTAAAGCGACCTCGAAAACTATGCTATATTGTTTCGACGATAAGTAATACGAATTTTTATTATTTTGGCCAGACCTAAACTAAAACTACTACTAAACTAAAGATCAAAAGAATAACATAGCAAATAAATTCAAATAAATATATAATAGCATTGACTTATAATAGCAAATAACCTATTTCAGTTTTGCTTTCAACAAAATTTCAGGCGATCTGAATTTCAAAAATGTAGACAAGCATATCGCCGAAGTCTCTCGGCTTTAAGAGCTGTTTTTTTTTTTGGGAGAACAGTTTGTATGATTAACTCCTTATTTATTTAAATGGAATAGAAATTTTTGGATGCTACTAAAATGATGCGAAATAACAAAAAAAAATAACCATTTTTAGGAATTTTTCAATTTTCGTAAGTTACGCTTGCATTTTAGAAAGGCTACAAAACTTAATAAATAGTGTTTTAAATTCCAGTTAAACGTTAACAAATATTTCATACTATTATTATTATTTTGAGTTTTAATAATTTTTGCAATTTCTAAGTATAAAAATCGAAGAATTTCGAGGTAAGTTTTTTCCAAAACCATATAAAATTGACTCGGGAGATTTTGCCTTGCATTACAATATCAAAACACATCAACACATCACGTACTAAACTTCACCAGAAATGTTCGATCTGAAGGTATTTCGAAACACTGTGCGTCGTAACTACTCATAATCGTCGATAGTATATTTATTATTTGGCAATGACGTTTGATTGGTTGTGGTGTATGGTGTAGAGATGACTTTACCTCAGAGCGATAATAAGGGCTAACGAAGGGCGATTGTTTGTGTTGCTGGAAGATCTCGTCGGTGATACATGCCAGCGGTAGAAGAACGAATTACGCATAGCCGTCGATGAGTCTCTCTTTACGGTGAAACTTTCTTGTACATTGTGGTATTCATGAGAATTGATACACAAACATTAGCGTGCCGATTTGATCACCCAATCGAATTTAAAGAATTTGCACATTCTAGCTGGATTTTTTGTACCTACCTTACTCGCGTACTCTTATCAGTGGGACACAGCACCGATACACATTTCTATTGTAAAAGCGTCTTCGGTCACGTTCCAGCACTGGAAATCACTAAGAAGGATTAGTCATGAAACTGGAGGCTGAGGTTACAACGTCATTTCTTTTTACGTACCAAGTAACGATGTTCAGGGTCATACATGAATCCTGCGAACGCATGACTGTCATTGTGCAGAGGGCCTTACAACTGCCGGTTGGATGTCAACATGCTGGGTTCTATGAAATTGCTCATTAAAGTCTTGAAAAATACCATTCCCCTAAAATATTTGTTAAGTATTACTTTCTTAGACGAATTACAGCGCTAACGTAATACAAACAGGCAAACAAAATGAATGGCTATCATACATGAAATAAATTACTACTACGTACAACCTCCAAGGTAATTTAAACAGCCTTACCAATTACACTCTTCCAGTGAAAATAGCCTCGGAAACGTTCCTCCTCCATCTTTCCATGTCTGAGATAGTGTGTAGTTGTCAGCAGAGCGGTTCCCAACATTCGTACTACTTACTTTATTCAATGGCGTAAACGCGTGATGACGTCGGACTGTCCAGCTTAGCTCGCTTCAGTGAGTTGAAGAGACGTTCACAGTTGTAACTGTTGAATAAGATTGATTTTTAAAACAATAAAACATTTAACGTGTACTCTGTTTGGGTAACAATTTATACTACTTGTATGGTCCCTCGAGCCGGATTTTTTATATAGGATATGATTAATCTCAGTACAGAGTACTAAAAAAACCGACCTCAAAAGTACGTGGAATTACGTCTATTTGCTAAGTTTCATTGAAATATCCCCTAGTTCGCCACTATACAGGACTTGATACTGGAGATAATAAAAATAGGTTCTCACTACGACACTACTCAAAGTATATCGAGGGAAAAACGCCTTGAATTGGAGAAATAGCAAAAACAACTAAATAATTGCTAAAAGCAATTGCTCCTAAATTAAAGTTAGGCGCTATTTATAAAAATGAATCTTCATGCGTGAACAGCTATCCTTAGAGGTGGATGATTTCCTTCAAAATGAAATGGGACCACTATGGAAGTACCCCCTTTCCAACAAAAAACGAATCATGAAAATCGGTTCACAAATACCGGAGTTATCGCGTAACATACATACAAAAAAAAATAAAAAAAAAATAAACATACAGTCGAATTGAGAACCTCCTCCTTTTTTGAAGTCGGTTAAAAGTGAAGTCGTCTCATCCTATATAAAAAATCCGTATACATATTTTGCAATGTATGTGTATCAAATTGCTTGAGTAGGTACATACCACACACCACACATACCACACAGTGATCTGCTGGTGCATGTAGAAGAGTCCACGACGGTCTTTAGTCAAATTGGCTTTGTTGGAAGAAGTATGAGGATACACAAGATGCCAGTGTTAGTGATGCAAGTTAACGCCTATATCTTCACACCAGTACGCCAGAGGATGTTCTTCTTTTAAATCCGAGGCAGTGTAGTCTCTTGGGATAATAATTGGCGTACGCTGTAACATAAAAAAAAATATATATCCTATAATAAATAGGTACGGACGGCAGCATATCAAGCTGTACGTTGAACGATCTTGTTCCGTTGCTCTGGAGGCGATAATCGAACAAAAGTATTATAGCTTGATGTGCTGTTGACTGTATTAATATAATATGTTTGATAATGTAATTTAATTTAACGTATTGTAATTGTTCGTCTTGTTTCTACTAACTTAGCTCATAAGATTGTTACTAACAAATAAGGACTAATTGGTCTGAGAATAAGTTAATTTGAATATGTGTAACATACATAATAACAAAAATTGGGCAATGCGTACAAAGTAACGTAGACATAAATGACATTGACAGCCAAATGACAGCAGTAAATTCATTTCATTTCACCTAATTATGAAGACGTGACGTAAACAAGGTTTACTTGGTATACAGTGAATTCATGTCAACGTTTCTTTTATAAATTTCACTTAAAATTTCATTGTACTATAAAAATATTAAAAGTAAGCAAGAAAATTATATTATTCTTACTTATTTATGAGTAATTAGAAATAATATTCATGTTACTTCCTCCGTGGCGTAGTGAGTGTGACCTATGGTCTTGGAACGGAACGTAGAACTTGCAAAAAGTCACGTAGGCCACCCGCGCGTGTATAAATTTATATAAAAGTAACCTGCTGAATTGTTTAAAACATTTGTATTTGTGTATAATGTACCTGTAAACTTCGTGCAAACATGGAGGACTTTGCGAATAATCCAGGAGTGGTAGTAGTCCGCGCGAAACCCGAAGGACAACGTAAGACTTTCAAACCAAAAACGCGCGCAGTCACAAAGATCCCTGACGAGTTGTTGAACGATCCTTTATTAAACAGAGCTTGTGAGGTGCTTCCACAAAACTACAATTTCGAGGTGCATAAGACTATATGGAGGATTCGATCACTAAACGCAAAGAGAGTAGCTCTACAACTCCCTGAAGGTAACTTACTTTTCTCGCCTTCTTAAAGTTTGAATGACTAGCGTTGTTGACCGAAACTATGTTATTGCAGGTCTAACAATGTTCGCAACAACTTTGAGCGATTTAATCGAGGCTTTTACCGAAGCTGACACCGTCATAATGGGTGATGTCACGTACGGCGCGTGTTGCATCGACGACTACACGGCTATTGCGCTCGGCGTCGACCTATTGGTGCACTATGGACACTCCTGTCTTATCCCCATAGACCAAACCAGTAATATAAAGGTGCTATATATCTTTGTCGATATTAAAATAGATCCGTCACACTTTTTAGAAACAATTAAAGTTAATTTTCCGATACGAACTCACTTAGCTCTAGTTAGTACTATACAATTTGTCACAACCCTACATTCTGTAGCTAAGAATTTACGCAATGAAGAGTATATAGTGACTGTACCTCAATGTAAACCTTTATCGCCTGGAGAAATTCTAGGTTGCACAGCTCCTAAAGTGACTTCCGATGTAATAATTTATTTAGGAGATGGAAGATTTCATTTAGAATCAATAATGATAGCTAATCCTAATATTCCTGCATTTAAATATGATCCCTATGAAAAGAAATTTACTTCAGAGGTGTATGAGCACAAATTGATGCAAACTAATAGACAGAATCAGATTAAGATGGCTGAAGATTCCTGCACCTTTGGTCTTATACTAGGCACCTTAGGTAGACAGGGAAGTACTAAGGTTTTATGTAATTTAGAAAAGCAAATTAAGAATGCAGATAAGAAGTATGTGAAGATACTTCTATCTGAGATCTTTCCTAGTAAACTAGCCTTGTTTAACCTGGATGCATTTGTACAAGTGGCTTGCCCAAGACTATCTATCGATTGGGGAACAGAGTTTTCAAAACCTTTGTTAACTCCATATGAGTTTTCAGTGTCTCTAGGAAATAGTAAATGGTTAAAGGAAGATGGCACATATCCTATGGACTTCTACTCTAATGAGAGCTTAGGACCATGGACACCTAATTACAAACCTGTGTTATGTTTGGACTCTGATAAAAAATGCGATAATTGTTGTGAAGGAAAGGGAAAAATTGTTTCATAGTGTAAGAAACGAAAAATGTGATAGTCTGAAAGCAGTTAATTTACTGAACTAAATGAAACTAACCTCGCACTGCTGGGCCAGGTCTTTGTTAGTGTGTGTAATAGTTGATGTAATTGAATAGTCTCATAAATAATTAAATCAAGATGCTGAAATGTCTCTGCGAGATTGGGAATCGGCACATTGTGCGTGTCTCGTCTGTAGATAAAAAATAATTCATTACTTATAAAAATCTGTATATAATAGGCAATGTCGACAACGCATTAGGCGGCTGCACGCGCTTAGCGACAAATGGGTAGGAAATAACATTATTGTGTTCTAAGAATGATCTTTTTGTAAATGTGTCTTGATAATATGCAAACTTTCTTAATGCAATTTTAATTTCATGTAGTTTTAAGTAGTTAACATATTGCATTGTTACCTATTGGAATAGGTGTATGCACATGATAGCAGTTAATAAATGATTAATGTAGAAAAATGTTAAATTATTTAAAGCATTCATTATGGTTACATACCTAGATATAAAAAGAATAGTGGTATGTAGCTCAAAAAGTTGTCTGTCTGGAGAGTTGCTAAATGCGTTGTTTTTTTTAAAAAAAATACGTGTAAAACCGCACTAGTATGCCATATTACTTAGCCTAGCTTATTTAAAAAGTGTGATTCACACTAAACACATTGTGTTGCATTGTGTTATTAAAGTAACTTTACCTCGGAACGAGAGTAAGGGCTAGGCTAAATTACTTCTTCAGTTTTTATAATTAATTTGAACAAAGGATTATATACCTATGCAACAAAACAGCAGAGAAACAATAGTGGAAAAGTTTTAGGTTTACATCTAAACCTTTAAAACCTTCTCCAGTGTGCATCCGCCCTGGAGAAGTCACAGGTGGAAAGGAAGTGAGTCAGCCAATTCTCAGGCACACCTGTAAAAAGTATTATCTTTATAATGGTAGTACTTCACAGTATCAGTATAGCACTTTTTAACAATTCTCCATCAATTGTTATAAAACTCAAGGCTTTGATTTTATTGAATGTATAATTTGACATGATGTTTTGCTACCATGATCTTCGTTGATTTTTGCGAAATTACTCCACTGGCTTGTTATAATTATTAATACAAATCTGTACCCTCCGTGAAAAACGCGCCAACTCGACTTGTATCCATATTCGTTTTTTTAAAGATTAGTCATTTGTGTAAAATGATGCATCTTTCTATCTGATCACCACTTCTCTATCTGCTCTAGAACCGAAGATAATTTTCGTGTATAATGATATAAGTGACCCTTTTCCAGAAAATGTAACTAGTTTTTTGTGTAATGTGATATAAATTTACACGCACACATTCAATTTCGTACGTCACGCCTAAATTCTAAGTTTAAAGAATTACAACTTCAATCGAATTATTAAAAACATTGAGCTTTCATTAATTTGCGATTGTAAATACTTATTGTATTGTAGTTATATCAAAATAAATCACCTTGTGATTAAAGCTACAAGTCTTTAAATATCATTGCAAAAATCGGTCACAATACAAAAATGTTTGTATGTACTAATACAATAAATGATGTATTAATTTACACAAACCTTTTGAAATTAAAGATTTCATATTTTATACAATTTAACTTGTACCAAAAATGTTTGAAGTTTTTGTCTATTTGTAATTTATTTAAATCAAAAGTATACAGTGATATAATTCATAATTCTAATCAGTCTATCTCTTTATAGATATATAAAAATTGAAAGAGAAAGGCGATTGTAAATGCGTATAGACAGGGGTCTATCTTACATGTTTAAGTTTACATTTCTAAGGTCTACAATAAAATTGAATCCTATAGCAGAGAAAGATTATTATCGTTTTAAAATTTTGTAAAAATTCAAGTTTATGACGATTGTTTTTCGAAAGAATCTTTTGGTACTGAAACTATGGACAATTTATTACGTTTTGAATTTTAGATAATAGTTTTATTTAAGTTATTATTTTTAATGACAATCAATAAGCTGACATAAAAAATGTCAGTATAAAACAAATTAAGAAGGATTGATTCCTTTGCTTCAATTTTCTATTTATTGTTTAAATTTTTCTTCGCTTAGTATATCGTATTTTAATAAGAATCGCTGCGAGTGACGATATAGTTGTTATTTAACTTTATTGTAGATCTAGAAAAGTAGACTTAGGGTCGTATTCTAGACCTCTACTCAATGCCCAAGTCAAGACTTGTGTATGATTCAAAGCACTAGAAATCATACTCAAGTCCTTGCCATTGGGGTCGTATTTCCAGTGCTGGAAATCTTGCCCTTAAACATGTAACAACGAAGTGGCAAGATAATTACTAACTAAAAACACAAAATATTACCTATTGTTACCTAGGTATTAAGTTGACTGAAGATCTATTTTCCTGAATTCCTAAACTGAAAATAAATCTTTTTTAAACGACTTCCAAAAAGGAGGGTCTCAATTAGACTGTTTTTTTATGCTTTTTTTGTTGTATGTATGTTACGCGATAACACCGGTATTTGTGAACCGATTTTCATGATTCTTTTTTTGTTGGAAAGAGGGTACCTCCATAGTGGTCCCATTTCATTTTAAAGAAAATCATTTATTTTATGTGTAAATGTAAAAGTTTATTCTACCTACTTGCGAAAAATAATCTGATGATGTTGATTTTTATAGTTATTACAACAATAATACATGAGGATTTTTATTTTATTTATTATAGCAATATACACAAAACTTTTGGTCGCAACTGTAGAGTTTACGTGATACATTTTTTTCTTTTTGCGCAATGTCGCGCAACTATTTCAACTGATTCGCAAAAAACCTATTCATTTTAATTACAATTTTGTTCGGCAAGATTCTTGTAATCTTAATAGGTAACTAAATAAATTTATTTGAACTTATTTACATATTGTTCACTAAGTCACCACATGCCGTGTAAATTGGTAAAATTTGTAATATATCGTCTAACACAACCACGATTTAAAGTGACAAATGATACAATTTGCTTTTATTGGTATTTGCTGAGAATATGTAAAGTTAAATTTAATTATTGATAAACCATAATATTGACACCGAAATTCTTTTTTAGGAAAAGTAACTCGTTTAAAACTAGTACACATAACTAAAATGTTATAAGACTACAACGATTCAAATTTTTCAAATCCGTTTTTCTCAAACCACGAATTTCTGACTTAGAGCACTTTTCACGGAGGGTACAGAAATGATTTAATACACATCCGTCAGATTCCTCTTTCGTCAGATCATTTATTTATTCCGTACAGGTCAGAAATTTGTTGCTGTTAACGAAACAGTAATAAAATTGTTAACACAAAGATCTAACCTGACAGAACTTAAACTTGCGTTCATATGCCAAATTAGGGCCACTGCTCTACCAACACAGCTACAGATCGAGTCAATACAAAATATTACCTAATAACAAACCCATGAATTCGCTCTAATTCGTGAGGTCTGCTGTGCTGACTCGATCTTTTTTATTTTACTTTTTGATTTCGAGTCCGATAGCAAATTTGCTACGATAATGCGAAATGACGCCATCAGAGCTATACAGAGTTTTTTTTTAATGTGACAGTATGGGGACATCCGAAATCATAGAAGATACAAGGAAACTGCCTTAGGAACCATTAAGTTTTTTTTTTGTAAAAACAATTTTGGTATAAATTTGTATAAATTCGTGAGGTCCGTTGGTTGGTTCCGTGGCTTAGTTGGCATAGCGTCTGACACGGTTTGCTAGAACACGTCTCGGTCCGAATCGAAGGAGTTTTTTCTAAGTGTTCGATCTTTGTATTTATAATTAAAACAAACTAGTAGAGTCATTTCACAAAAAATGATTGAATATCAATTCAACACAAATTTAATTACAATTAATAGCGACATTTCTAGCCAGGACTCGTAGCTGTAAAATTACCTAACTAGGTGACGAAATAATTTTATAGATTTCTCATAGATAGCGCTACGGCTAAAATAGAGTTTTCAAAACTAATTGAAAACTAAATACGAAGATCCGACAAACAAGCACATGGAAAAATTCGTGAGATCTGCTGGTTCTTTCCGTGGCTTAGTTGGCATAACGTCTGACACTGTTTGCTAGAAGACGTCGGTTCTAATCCGGCCGGACCGATATTTGTATTAATAATAATAACTTGTAATTATAAATTTTAACCGACTTCAAAAACAGGAGGAGGTTCTCAATTCGACTATGTTTTTTTTGTATGTATGTTACGCGATAATTCCGGTATTTGTGAACCGATTTTCATGATTCTTTTTTGTTCGAAAGAGGGTGCCTCCATAATGGTCCCATTTACTTTTGAAGAAAATCATCCACCTCTAAGGGTGGCTGTTCACGCATGAAGATTCATTTTTATAAATAGCGCTTAAATTTTATTATAAGGAGCAATTATTTTAATTGTTGATTTTGCTATTCTACAATTCAAGGCGTTTTTCTCTCACAATATATTTTGAGTAGTGCGAACGGATTTTTATTATCTCCTGTGTCAAGCCCCGTATAGTGGCAAACTAGGGGATGAATCCGGGTTTCTCACTTTCCGGTAACCGATTTGAACAAAACTTGGTAATTATATGTAATTCCGCGTACTTTTGAGGTCCGTTTTTTTAGTACTCTGTACTGAGATTATGGTATGGTCAATTTTTTGGTCATGCGTTCATTGTAAGGGACAAACAAAAATTGAGACAGCCGAAGTTGGTCAAATTTCATAAAATCCTGAATGATCCCTTCATGAAACAGTCGATTATCACTAAAAAAATTTGATCAATTTTATTTACATTTATTGACAAATGACGTTTGGCCAAAAAATTGACTATGCTAAAATTGTTTTCACATAAAAATACTAATAAATAAACCAAAGTTTCCTTGTATCTTCTATGGTTTCGGATTTCCATACTAAAAAAGGGCTGTATTTTACATAATCTACTTATTTAACCTTTAAAGTTAAGACATTTTTATCCTACTTGTGTTAGACTGTAAATATTTTATACGAATGTTGTAAATAAAATAGATGTTTTATCATAGGTTCTATTGTTTTAATTTTAGCTCCTCCTGTAATAGGTACATATTTCAATCGGTATTATTTTGCTTAACTCGCGGCAAATTAATGTAGTGATATGCGACGCA